ATTATTTGCATGTTATGTCCTGGTCCTCACTTAACATTAATGTTTTCTGTTCTTTGCAAAAAGATCTGTTTAAAGGAAAGTGAAGGTTGGTGTAAAGTCATTTCAAGTAAAACTATTGTCACACTTTTCACACAAGGTTTGCCATCTTCTCTCCTCTACCATCCTGTTGCATATTAAATAGTTCACTAATACTCCTTAGCACCAGTGAGAGCGGAACATGCATGTAAGAACCACAATATCATAAAACGTCGTTAAAGCGAGCATATTTTGCCAGTCCTCTGTGCCTTTGTTATCTGGTTCTCTTGCAGCCTTCATAAGTGGAGGGACTTGTCACATACACTGGTTAAAAAAGACTACAAAAGCACCTATGGCCATATGTAAATTGTAATAATATGAACATATTCTTTTTTTTATTTTTTATTTTTATTTATTTATTTTTTTATATACATTTCGTTTTTAGAGTAGATTTATAATGTAGATATTGTAGATGAAGAGTCTCACTTCGTTGGATACTCTGCAGTAAATCATTATTATTATTATTTTTGTTATTATTAAAGCCACAAAGAAATAAGTGAAAATCCCTTGTTGCTCGTTGGTAAAGTACTCCCCAGGAGTGGACGGGGGATTTTGTGATAGAGGGGGCCTAGAGATATAGTATACAGTGGCGATATGGGTGCAATAGTGACCATTAGGACAGTGAATGGTGCCATTTTCTAGGGAGTTTTGGGCGCATGCTGCTCCAGGAAAATTTTTGAGATTGAAGTTCTCTGAGATGCAATCTAGTGCATTCTGGATGCTTAAATTTAGCAAATGTCTGGATTTCATATTGAACATGGAATGCTGAAATATTTAATAAACCACAGGTGTGGTTGTGGTCAAAGGGGTAACTAACACTTTATGATGCCAGCAGGGGTTAAAGCAATTGCTCCAAGAGCACAACCTCCCAGCAAAGGCGGCAACATTGTCCCCCTGAAAAATTGTCAAATCCAGTTTGTCTGAGATGGATTTTTACTGCATGCATTCTGGGAGCTTTGGTCATTTGAGACTAAAAATGTAGGCTTCGAACACAGATTTTCTTTTCTTATTAACAATGTTATTAAAGAAAATATATTTAAGTAACAAAGCTCCTAGTACAATCCAACACATGTTTACAAAAGAAAAAAAAATTCCTGGACAAAAGGTGGGGGGGGGGGGTTGGGGCTCCCTTGGCCAACCCCTAAATTCACCCTTGCTCCCACACTCCGATGCCACCACCTACACAGGATGTGGTAATTAAGATCCAGTTTTACTTATTATTAATTCCCCATCCCTTTCCTTTGAACTAAAATGTCATCATTTTCCCCTCCTCAGGGGCAGAAAAATCCAATCCATCCCCTTGCAGTTCAACATATTTCCTTGGCTGGCTCCGGGTCCTACCCCTGGGGTAAGCCCATGACATGTGCATTTAACCCATTGGCAGAACCTAGTTAGCCGTAGCTTGTGCACAGCTCGTTGGATTGTATGACGGGGGTTCTTTCCGGGATTTAAATTTGACTTGCTCCTAATCTTGTCGAGGGTCTGCCATCAAAATAAAACTACTGACTGCACTTGCCTGCATTTGTAATCTCGCCAGCTGCTCGGACTACGACTGTAGAACCTAAGGTAAGATTTCCATACAAACCCATACATTTATTACCTTTATTATGCATACATGTACTGTTTCGACTCCATTCATATGAACTATTTGGGTGAAATGCATAACAAATGTATGGGCTTGTACAGAAACCTTTGGAATCTAGCCTATCTGTTGGGTGCAAAATGTTTCCTCGGGGAAAGATTTACTACATGAAATATGACCAACCAAATATCACAATATGTTCACAAACGGTTTTTTTACCGTATATTTCGCTCTCAATTTCGATCGACTCAAAAATTAGAAAAATCTTCACTGGAGTCGTTATTACTCTCTCAGTTGTTGGGAGGAGAAAACGACTCGAAGCAATCGGATGAATTTCAGGCTATATCGGAGACGGAGATCAGTAATTTAGGCAATATAGCTTGATTTCACTTCAGTAAGCTATACTTACTAAAGTATAGAATTCAATTACCACCGTTTTCCTTGATACGCGACTTTTCAAATCGAAACACCCGCTGAAACTTTTCCAAAATTTCCGTCAATCATACACGTCATACCATATATGGAAGTGTTAATACCTCCACGCGCAACGGAAAGATGGCGAATTCGACAGATAGCTTCGAATTCACCAATCAGTATAAGACATGCAATATGTACCTTTCTTCGTGTAAAGCCCATTTTCTTCAATAGCTTAGCGATCGTGGACACGTGAATTGTCTTTCCCAGTGCGAACTGTATCCATTCCTGTATTTCATCCTCGTAAATCTCTGGATATTGCTGGATTACCCTTCTTATGAATAACATGTCCTGTGCTAAGTCCAGGTGAGAAAAACAATAGTTAGGGAAAGTTCATTTAATATGACAAGGGGGTGGGGGGATGAAGATATTGAAACTCGAAGCTTGAAATTTTAGCAGCCCCCCTCGCCAGCGGTTCAATTTTTTAGGAGCCCCCTCCTTGGTAGTCGAAAAAATTTCAGAGCCCCCCCCCTCCTCCTTCAATTCCTTTGCTCCCCTGAGAAAAGATCGCTAGACTGTATTAAATATATTTACCGTTATTGTCTTCAATGGTTTATACTATGACAAACTTGAGATACCGTTGTGATACAATTTTCTAAAGCATTTTTGGGATGAACAAGAGTGTAATAATCTGTATGATGATGTCATGTGTTGGTTTTGAAGTATACAAATTTTCGGAGCCCCCCCTCCTAGCGCAACAATTTTTTCAGAGCCCCCTTCGGTTGTCTAAAAATTTCGGAGCCCCTCAATATCTTCATCCCCCCTTGTCATATTAAATGAACTTTCCCTTATGTATTCGTTTGATACAATTAGGCTCATTTAGAGAAGTGATTACAAAAACCTCAGTTCAAATCGTAAGCTTACTTACCTTCCAACTTTCTCACTCTACCCGGCCGTGATTGATAATGAACTGTTTTTGTGTTCTGGTAAAGATTTCGAATCTTTTTTACAAATGTCTTCCCTACGTGAAGTAGTCTAGCAACACGTTCGACAGTAAATTCCTGAACGAGTAAATACACTACTCGCCAACGCAAATTTAACGAATAACTTGCCACCATGTTTACATATAACTTCGACCGGCCGCCATATTTTAAATTTTCAGGGCCAGTCCAACACTTCCATATATGGTATGACGAGTATGATTGACGTAAATTTTGGAAACGTTTCAGCGGGTGTTTTGATTTGGAAAGTCGCGTATCAAGGAAAACGGTGGTAAGTGATAAAGTAGGAAAAAAGTCTAAAAAAGCAATAACTATAAAATGAGAAAAACGTACCTTCGCCGCAGCAATGCTATTAAAAGTTCAACAAATTTCTCGCACTGTAGAGCTGGTCCGGAGCTGGGGCTCGTTTCTCGAAAGTTCCGACAATTAACGGGCCCGGTAAGCTGTCTCCGTTTAATTAAAGATCGAGGTTTCAATAGTTTTGCATCTAGCATGATAAAACTATCAGTTAGTGAAACAAAATGGAGTAGTTTGCTAGCCAGGACCCGCGCTCTTATTCTTTGTATTTCGATTTGAATATTTGATTTCGGGCCCGAAAAGTTACCGGGACTTTCGAGAAACGAGCCCCTGGTCCTGGAAGCGAGCACTAATGCCCAGTTCCCCGCGGTGATTTTCGGGACCATCAGCGAAAAATCATTTTTTAATGCGATCTAACAGCCAACGCCCACATTGATGAAGGAGGCAAGGGGGTGTCGTGGTAAACGAAAATGAAAGTCTTTTCTGTTGCAAACTTGGCATATCATTAGAGCTGTGAAAATATTTTAATGCCTAATTAAAATAATTATTGTATTTGGCAAATCTCGTATGGGCCGGAGAATGTTATCATTATATCCCGTATTTTGCGCAAACGCAGTTCGTTAGATGTTAACCAAGTGCTTGGTCTGACATGCTTCTGATGCTTGTTGCGTTTACTGTTCAAATTCGCCCTCTTATTAATACGTGAATCCCCCAGTACATTACTGTAGTTATCTATCTCTACCCTTGGGTTACTAATCAGAAAATTCTACGATAAACGTAAATTATCAAGCTGTTAAGCGACAACACTCAAACCCGTATAAATAAGCGGTCACCCTTTAGGGTTGGCTCATTGAACCAGGCCTTATACAGTTGGACCGTTCAGTCCAGGTTTGACAAACCCGCCTAAGTACTAAGGGCTATTCAAGAAAAACTTGGACCTTGACAGGAGCCGGCTCCTGCTTCAAATTGTTTCTACCTCTTCTTGTGACAAAAGAAAGTAAGTAAAAGACCACTAACAGGGGCGGATCCAGGATTTTTTTTGGGAGGGGGTGCACTCGTCTCTTGCTCTACTTCAACACCAATAAACCACATAGTTTTTTTTTTTGCAGAATACCAGTTGTATTAGAAAACCGCAAGTCATCTCATTGACTGGGCAATTTTGTATGAAGAGGGCGAAGGAGGCGAACAATATTGCAACAAGAATAAGTTTAGATGTTGGGTTTCAAAAACGCCTTGGGGAAAATTTGGTGCACACCTCCCCCGCCGCCGTTCTGGCTTCTTTGAGATCCGCCCCTTTTTGAGTTCTTTTATTAACTCTCATGACTAAACGCCATGCACAGTTTATCTATTGCATTAGTATGGTGCAGCAAATCAAAGTGACCATTTAGCAGAGGTAAAGACAAGAAAAAGAACTCGTTCGTATCTCGGAAAAGGTCGAAAAGTGACTGCGGCTTCTTAACAGAGGTCAGTGTTACAGCAATTAAGGGAAACTTAGAACTTTGTCAAGTGACTGTCCGTGGAGGGTGATCGCTTGATAAAGGTCCGCTTCGATGAACAAAGATTTTACTGTAGTATGCTTGTAAATTGAGTGTTCAAATACAAGAGGACACATTGACTTTTATGTTTGTTTGTTTTCTGCAGGATTCTTAACCGATATCCAGAGCTGCTTACCTAGGAAAGTTTTGATAACATTAGGTGACCCTGACTATCAACAGTTTCCATATTTTATTGAAGCGTACAGATGTAATGGTGTTTGTTCTACGTCGTTTACGCCAAAAGAACAGCAATGTATCGCGGTGACGTGGGAGAATATCACGGGGAATGTTTTCGACCGGACCACTCTGTCTATAAAGCCAATTACTGTTCAGAATCACACCAGTTGTAACTGTCAGTGCGTTGCAAAGGCGGAAGATTGTTCCGAGAATGAGCAATTTGACAAAGGCAATTGCCGTTGTGCTTGCAAGTACACCGATGAACCACCCAATCCGTGTCCTGAGAGATTTAGGTTCGTTTGGTTATTTCTTACATTTTGGTTTTACGCTTACAAAGAGTTCTCGTAAGGGTCTTAGCATCTCGAAATTCTTACTCTATTCCGCTGCACGTCCCCCTGTATTGCTTTTAAGACACTCCCATTTTTGTCTTGGATCTGTTGCTATGCGGGAGAAGAAGAAACTGTCAAGCTTCTGTTTATACAAGAGAGACTGACTGCAATGCAACAAACTTCGCCTAAAGCAATGCAGTTGAACCCCTCTGAAGCAGGATGGGATCATGGGCTCGATATCATGGGGTCTCTCAGGCAGAGTTCACATTTGTTGCCCGGCATAGACTGCAAGCAGTCTCTCTTTTGCTCGAAATGCTGCCAGTACCCACGCTATAGTTCGGGCACGGTGCCGGTGCTCGAGTACAAGGTCTTGACCTTGTACTCGTGCAATAAAGTGGACACCGGAACTAAACCAATTTGTTAGTTTTGGGGGAGTCACTACTTTGTACTAGCCGCCAAGCTCATGATTCAACACGGCGTCTGACAGGGCGAAATAGAACAATTATGTTCACAGTCACATATTGCCATGGGTACTCAAGGTGTGAATACAACACACAACACTATTTTGTGCGGGTACCCAGGCACTGATTCCTTGGCACCAATATAGTGTGGACAGCCCCTTTAATAAGTGAAACTCCAAACAACGAATTGAAGGAAAGCGATATGTATTATGTGGCTAAGTTGGTAGAGAGAGGTTTACGTCAAAAGGCAAACGTTCATTCGTACCACGTGACCATGTGTTTCATTCACTTGTCTTTTACTGTTTTACCTTGTTTAATATCTGTACAAAATGGTAGTACTTATCTGGCCATTTCCTAATTTTGAGAGATTTCCAGCTTGAATCTTGCCTTTTGCCCTATTAGGGTTATAAAGTCCACAACTGTAAAATAGTCTGTTGAGACAGGAAAAAAATCCGATTTCAAAATCGCCCGGTTGATCCTAGTCGGATGAATCTCGTGACAGTCACGAGACTCATTCAGTGAATGTCAGATTCATTGTGATTTGTCCTGTTTCTCTTGTTTAAGGTGGAATAAAGGCCGGTGCAAGTGCGTATGTTCAGGACCAGTAGAGTTTTGTAACAGTAAACAGGTATATACGATATTGCCTCGTTGATGCAGACTCTAAAGGGAGAGAACCAGGTGTCCATATTATACACATGTCATAGAGATACGGGCTGTACAAAGTTTCACTTCTTTGACACCTGGAGAACTGTGTGTAAAGTTGTTCGTACCCTGGAAGTGTCCGTGATGTGACATTCGCCCATACACTTTTGTGCCGCCGATATGTGTATATGAAAGTCAAAAGGGGCTTGGTTCAAAAAATGCTAATCCTCATGTGGGATTTCGTTGTTTTTATCCCTAACCCACCGCCAAAAATTTCAGTGTTCACCATCGAGATCTTATACACAGACTTGAAAGACTACTTCTCTCGAATGTTCGCTTAAGGAATGAAATAGTTGTAATTAAGAATTTTTTAACCTTGAACATCTAGATATGGAGTCCCGAGGTTTGTGGCTGTATTTGCAGTCGTTTTGCAGTGGAATCGTGTAAAGATGAGCAAAAATATCTCAATGCTTCAACCTGTGCGTGTGTAGCATCTGCGCCGAAGTCAACTAACCCTGGAGTAGCGGGCGAAAGATCCTGTAAGTAGATCAGGCTAACTCCTAACTTCAGCTCATTTTGATTGAATTGCGTAATGCAATTTCTAAAACTAAGGTAGTTTTCAGTGTCTGAAGACAAAATCAATCCAAAGAATCATTCGACACTGAGTAAATACATCTAGCTGGCAGTAAGTAACATATGAACTGCCTGGTAACATTATTTTGGTCAGCGATTCCATACTATGTCACTGTGAACTTTCTTGCCTGAAATACGCGGTCGTGTTATACAGTGGTAAAATATCTACGTTTGCGTTGAAACCCTCCACCAAACGCGGGAACACGCGAGCAAGTTATGAATGCTTTTGTTTTCAATTCTTATTGGGCAAGCAGGTCGCGGGCGATCTATGACCTTCATGATCACATCCAAAACTATCCTGCATAACAGGCGCATTATGAGCCACGCGAGGGTTTTGCGTTTCTCGCAAAATGCCGCGTTCGCCTCGCGTGGCTCACTAAGTGCCTGTTGTACAGCTTATACAAAACTAGACTGCTTACAGTCCGCCTTTTCTCTTAAAATTCGGCTAGTTCTTATCTCAGCCTACGCGACCTGCAAGTGCTTGAGTTTCGTTCGTGTGTAGTAACTTTGCAAAGAAAAAGAAGAGACTGCTAGTAGTCTGATGCAAAACTAGACAAAGTATGTCTGACAATCAAGTGAAAGGTTCTTGGAATCTCTTTCTGTTTATGGGTGTACTCACAAAGCGGTTTTCCTAAGCGTTTTCAAGTTTTCCTAACTTAATTAGTATTTTTTTTGTTTATCTTTGCAGCTGAAGAAGTAATGGACTGGAAGAGGATAGCTTGGGTGATGTTAGCTGAGCTGATTGTTTTATTATTACTCTTTGATCTATACCTGTGCTGTAGATATGAAAAAGGAGTCATTCACTGGATACTTGACAAGTGCCGTTTCTCCTCTAAAGGTAAACATTTCAATTGCGAGGAATGTAATACTCGTCTTGTCACGGAGCGTGGGACAAAGAAAACCTTTGATTTCGCGAAGGAATTCGAACGGTGACCCCGCCCTGTAATCTCCTACCCAGATCTCTTATCGTCAACAAGAGATCTGGGTACAAGATTACCCGTCCTGCCTGTTCCCCCGCCCCACCCCTCTCCTCTCCTCTCCGTACGGCAATTTATTTTCGCGGGTTGTAATTCTTACGAATTTTTGCCTTTTCTTTCACGATCCGCAAAAAGTTCTCTTTTCCGATGGCAAAATGATAAACATATAAACATTTGATAACTAGTTTCCAGCACAACGACATTTTATCTTAAACGTGTAGAACAGTGACGATTGCTAGCATGTTTTCCCGCTAAAATGACTCTGATCAGGCGCGCACACTACTAAGAGTTGTGAAAATCGCTCCCGTAGTCATTCCCATCTTAGAATCTAAAGGTTTCTAGTTTCAAGCTGATTCAAGTTTCAAGTTTAAGGATTATATAACAATCTGTTTACAATCCGATGATCCTACTGACCTGCAGGTAGCTAACCTAATCGGGGCGGATCAGTCTCACACGATCTAATATTACAGATTTCAAAAAAAGAGAGCTACAGTTTGAAAAAAGAGATTAACAAAGTAACAGTCGACAAAATCTTAGCAAAATTCAATGGTTCGCAGAGCTCTTATGAACGCGGCCTCTCAGCTCTATCGCACGTCAAGAGTCACTGATGCAATGTCTTTCATAGCCTGCAGTGCAGGCGTTTTCTTTGAGCGCGCAATTTGCTCGCGAAAGTGCCATGTTGAAACTTTCCGAAGAGAGCAGGAGATGGGGCGTCAATATTTTGATACCGAGGAAAGCGACTCCTACCACATCAATAAAGCTTGCAGGACTATGATTTTAATAGAAAGATACAACTGCAGTTTACGGTGTTAGTTGTATTGCCTGTACTTTACCAAAATAGTCGCATGAATTTTGAATATTATACTACTACATTAGAAATTTCTGCAATTTGATTGGCTTAGAGCAGTGGTATTTCAGCTTAATTTGAAATACCTACATGGGAAAATTACAAACCTTTTGTGGGTAGTAGTATAAACAAATAATAGCATGATTTGCACTTGATATTTGGCATAAATACCACTTGTGACATTTCAAAATTGTCGTATAACAATTTCGTATAACAATTTTGAAATATCACTCGTGATATTTATGCCAAATATCACCACAAATCATGCTATTACCTACACTAATTGCTAAGAAACCCTAAAATTTTAAATTCCCACAGAGGAAAACCAGACACTGGGAGCAATCAATACCTGTTATCAAAATCCCAGTCTCTTTCTAACAAGTTAACTGCTAATAAACAGGAAATAATGGACGGTGTAACCGGCTGACATCGCAAAGATAATGTTGTAGCGTTGGAAAAGGGCCAAAGTACATAGATTTTTTAATTTTATGTTGTGATTAATGAAGGAAATGGTCAGAATGAAATTGGTGTATATCGCAATGAAGTAAAGCGGCAACCGTTAACAGTTTTCCTTTTTTGTAATCTTAAGGATCTGTTTCTTGCAGATGCTGCTACAGACAGTGAAAAGCAAAAAAATGCAAACAGACCAAACACAGGAGGGGTTACATCTAACGGAACTGCAAGTTTTGATACTGAAACTCACAATCACAGTCCCTCCTTGAATAGATGTAAATCGAGGGAAAGCATAGTCTAAGCTGAATAACGAATTAAGGAAGGTCAGCAGGTGAAAAGATATTAAGGACAAGCTGGATATAGTAAACGTTTTCCGTACAGCTACCTCTCTATGACAGACACCATAACATGGTGGACACCTGGTATTACGTTTCGTATTGTACCATATCAAACGGGGTACATTACCAGGCCTCTTGACATATGTTAGTATCACATCGAATGCCGACATCTGATGTTTCAAAGTTCTAACGTTATCGATTAATTCATCATCTGCGTGTGCTGTACACTAAGGAATGCAGTGGTGGCAGATTACTGTTGGAGTTTACCAGGACAGACAGCTGCTGCTTAATTAAAAACATGGTGGATTCTTATATTTCTAGTAGCATTTGAAAAAGAAATCTATGCCACAAATAAGGCTAAGGGCAAGGCCACAAATCCAAGTCAAACTTAAGACTAAAATAGTTTTAACTGATTTTATCTCAGAAATCTCAGGTACATTACACTATGCTCTGTTAATGATACCTACCGGAAGTGGAATCCGTGTAATAGGGGGTGGGGATGCTCGTCGTCCCGGGGGCGGAATCCCTGTGAAAGGCGAGGATGCTCGTCGTCTCGTTCAGGGGTGCATGCAAATTGCAGATTTTGGCGTCACTTTGGATGTTCAGGAAGGAACATCAATACTTCCAGTTATGAGCGTATCTTTTTGGGCTGTGTTTGAAAAAATAAAAAAAGGAAGAAAAAGTTCTCCATGAAAACGTCTTCAGCTGAAACGAAATCAGTTATTTGGCTGTCTGTTTGGCTATCTTTTAGGGGTCAAATATGCTCTTGTACCACACCTAGACTGGACTCATTTCAACTTTCCGACAAGCATTCACGCCCCTTTTCACATGGAATTCCCTTCCCTAATGAGTAGACTTGTTGATGAGGGCAGCGATTTGAAAAAAAGGACATGAGGTAGGGGTTCATCGCTCCGTTTTGCGACTGCAAAATATGTATGAATAAAAGATGTTAATCGTTTTCTGAACACCCGTGTGACACCTTTCCCATTCGCCAATATCCTTTTTCAAACCTCTAAATTGATGCGCTATTCTGGTCTCAAAAACCGTACTCTTGAACGCGGCAGATACCTCTGTAGCTATACATACAGCTGTAAGAAGGAGTAACCCCCTACGATCAATAACAGTAGAAACAGATCAGAGTCCTGGGGCATTTCTCAATTTTCTTTACATGTAAAAAAAGCATAAGAAATCACCAGCCTCTCAGTTCTGAATGAATACAAATATATTTAAAAGAAAACTTTGTAACGAGCCAAGATGTTTACAGTTACGTTTTACTTTCAAAACGCTGAGCATAACTCGACATAGAAAGGAAGCAACAAGGAGTCAGGACAGCGCAAAGTTTTTCATTTGTTTCCTTTCCTCTTTGTTTTGTGACCGAGAATGTAAACTACTCAAATATGTTAAGTTTAAGTTTGTATATGTCACATTAAGAGTTTTATGATTCAAAGGAGGCTTCTTTACCTTTTGTATTACAAACAAAGTTAAAATTTGAATTAAAAACCGTTTGTACAAAAAAGAGAATTTTGTGTACGTTTAACTTAGTTCAGAATAATGATAATCATAATAATTATAATAATTCATTGTTATTATTATTCCTTGTTATATTATTATTATAATTAATACTCGCCCAAAGAAATAATTCATAACAAGGTTAAGAATCCAAGCTAGTAGTAGGTACCATGTGGTAGGCAATAAGGAAGCTAATTACCAGCATGGCTGAGGAACACAGGACGACCAAGAAAAAATCCAGCTAGTGGTTAGGGACTGCGGGCCTCAAACCCGGGATCGTTCCAAGGATAACTAGTCCGGAACGCTGACCACTCGGTCAGATCTTCACTGCGTTTTTTGTAGCTCGACCAGGAGAAACAGCAACGCAGCCAGTCAAACAGTGGCCGCGTGGCTACTATGCTAACTTACGGTGTACCGTAAACTTCCGATTATACCCCCTCCCCCCCATTTATGGACCCATCTACCTGTAAACAGAAAAATACATCCAGTAATAAGCGCCCCCTCCCCCGCCCCCGACGTTTTGAAGCTTAAAAAAGCGATGGAATTCAAAAAGGAGTTTGATCAGCACTATTATGTAGTTTGTTTTGAAACACTTTTTTTTTTTGTCCGGTTACAACGCCACCCCCCTCCCCCTCCCTCCCCGAATATAAGCGGCCCCGTTTATAAGCCCTCCTAAAACCCCTAGTCTGCTACACAGCCGTTTTTAGAGTCGTCACGCAATGCTCCTCCCCACTAACGGCCGTTTGTGGGGAGGACCGTTGCGTGACGACACTGAAAACGGCTGTGTAACAAACTATAAAACCCCTTACGAAGTTGTATAGGTCCAGTATAATCGGAAGCAGTTACGGTATCTCAAAAATGTCTACAAAGGACAGGCTGTTGTTAAACAAACTTTTTCTAGAGGACTGGCTTCTTTCATTACACCCTTGTGCTGTAAAAAGCCAACATTTATCAGGGGAGGCTGGCACGTTCACAAACTTGCCTACGTAAACCAACGAGGCAGGCGGTTCCGCGAAAGGGAAGGGAAACTGGCACGCGCGAGAATCCACGCAGGTTCAGTACATGTCCCGGGTCTTTTCCAACCAAAGCATCCGCTCGTTTCCCAATCTATCCGTGTCTATTCACAGTTTCGTCTGTGGCGCAGGCTACGTTCAGACCGTATTGAAATTATTCTAATATGCTCCATAAAGATTTCTTTTTCATTGCCTAATAATTCCGGAATCACAATTTAGTGATTAAAATTTCTTAGCTTATTTCATAAGATAAGGAGACCAAACTCGGCATGAAATCAGCATGGAATGTTTTAGAGTTCTTAAAGAGCAAAATGATCTACGTAATCTATTTATATAAGCAAATAGATTTTATTACTGAAACGTAATTCCGGTAGAAAATACATGAATAAACACTCACGACATTATTAGGTAAAAGAACAGAAACCTTTATGAGGTGTCATTTCAGATCCACACGGTGTTTGGTTAAAAAAAGTTAACAAATATTTATCGTTATATATTTTTCATTAAATATCACGTCCTTTGTCTTTGGTCCTCTTCATGCAGTGATTATGACGTCAAGGCCTTTCCTAATTATCAAACACAGGAAGCCAATTTTTTCAAGGGCTGACCCAGGCGCCTTTCTAAGAAAAGCAGGAACTATCTTCCGGAACTATCTCTTCTCACTAATTTCTGGGACCTTTGACAAGTGGAACAAAGCCAGGATATTGTTAAAGCCTGATGGGTGGCATTGATTTGTTTTGTTTTGTCCGCCTTGGACGCCGTTCAAATAGACTAAACAGTTCACGTCCTTGCCGTTTCACTACTCTGAAACTTATGAGGTAGGCTTGTGGCAAGTCTATTCAAACCTCAGTGCATCTTAGATGTTTCGAAAACGGCACGCCCCTGACACCACGCTAAATATATTCACAATATAAAAATGGAAACTAATAAAGAATAAAAAACCTCATTGCCATCGAGAGCCGCTAATGAAGGCCACGAAGTACTTTGGGTCTGAAACTGGTGGAATGCCGGGCGGATATCAAGTTTTTCACAGTTGGTTTGTGGGCGGCCTTCTGTGCGAGAGGACACGACTTTGATTCCCAGGTGTGACCTCAAATCCTTGTTGTGAAATGCCGAGTGCACCGTCGGCCTTAAGCAGTGTCAGCAGTCCGAGTTGAAAGTTATTTTAAGCTACCGATGTAAAAAAAAGACGCTATACCTTTACCGTTGCTTTTACCTTTACAAATAATTCTACCGACTTTTTACCTGTTATGTCTTTCTTTTGTCTGGATTTAGCTATACCTTTTTTCCGGCTCAGCAAAAGGAAGGTTCCATCTAGTCTCCTGTGAAGCCTTAAATTGTCTTAAAGTGATAACAAACTAACGCATTTCCGTTCTCTTTCTGTCTCTTTCTTTTTTTTATTGTAAATACGACAAAACGTGGAATTAACAAACTTTTTTGGGTGTTACCTGCTTATGCAGCCTTTGCTGAGACTAATGATATTTCCTAAACCCTTTAAACTTTACATTGCGGTATAAAGCTTTTAAATACGATTCGGAAGGTTAGTAAACCCGCGGGGGGGAGGGTAACTCCTAAGAATAACAACTGAGTTTTTTTAAAGTATGGGAGATATGTTTCCGTTTGAGTGTAAGGATTTCTTTCACTCTGCTGATTGAAGCCACAGGATACAGAAACGCAGAAACTCTACTGATACGAGTAGTACAGCTGGAGTACAATATGTCACTGAGGAACTAACTCAAAATTAATCTCAAATTTGATATTGATGTTATCTCTAATATCTAGTGTATATGGTGGATGTTATATACAATCCAAGCCAGTGTATTACAAATCTTCCTGTCACGCTTACGCGCTTGCATCCAGTCTCCATTGACGTCATCGCGGGCCGGAAGCAATAATCATGAAATAAGCTAAAACGCAGCTTAGCAACAAAGCTTACATTCTGACTTACAACTCAAAGAGAACCTGTTACTGAAATTCTCAAACTACCTAAGAGCTGAATTATAAAGGTGAGTAAGGCAGATTTTCTCCAAAGTTTGATATGTTACGCGATAATAACCGTTTAGACTCACTAAGTCTACGCCGGGCACATGCGTAACCTCCACTATAAGCTGTGATCGTAGTCATTTGTCTTTTATGATGCATATCGGATGTTGTATTGATGCTCATCTTTAAATGCAAATTTCACGCACTAGTTGAATGATTTTACGCCGCCAAAAGAAAGACAGAGATCAGAAGTGTCATTCATAATCATTCTTTTTGTCGATGCCACTTTCCTTTAACAAGCGGTGTAGTAACGTTGTAGTAGCGTGTAATCGGAAGAGTCAGATAAGAAAGGACATCTCCTTACATTATCTCTTCAGACGAAACTGCCTCAGAATTGAAAAACGGTGCCGGTAGAGGTCATATATAGACGGTATGTATTTTACGGCACACGATAATGAATGCCCTGCTCATATTCCCAAACATTATGAAAAGGTTTTAAATCTACCGCAACTATTCTGGCTCACGACCTTTCCACAAACACCCCCTTTCGACGCCTGTTACGCAGGCTAGACTTAAAAAGTGCGTTTTCCAGTAGCAACGAACCATTAACTGAGTTTTGTTATTGTGCAAGAGATTGTTGAATGTGACAAGCAGATCGTGACGACGGGGATTCTTAGGACTGGCGTAGGGACTAAGCCGGACTTCAGGGGACTTGAAAACATGCTCAGTGTTAATCCTCAAAGATGATCATATAGCCGTCTTCATTCCGGTGTACTGCCAAGGATAACAAGAGATGGCAGAAAGATAATTGTCAGTCTATTTTGACACACAAATTAGTTCTGAAGTCTTCGATGTTTTTGATCACTGCCAATGATCATTGCCAAATTAGCGTAATCTTACTTAATGATTACTCACTCATTTATGACCGCGATCCGCACATGTAGCACTAGAATTACTGTAGCTGTCCACGGTATAGATACATTCCGATATGTACTTGGAGAGATTATTTTCACTCACAACAAACACTTAAAAAACCAGGCCTGCCACCTACCGCTTAATTAATCTTTGTTTTGTTTGCGCCCACGAAATCCGATGAATATGTACTGTATACAACTTTCATCAACTCTTAGTTGAAGGTTCGCTCAAAAGAATAAGTTTCTGTTTTCTCGACTTAGAAAGAACTGGCCCTGACTATGTGATAGTATAGTGCTCGAAAATTTCTCTTGGACAATCAGTATCGAGACAGCTAATAAAATCACTTTAATGTTCAAAAAAGTACGTTTTAAAGGAATTATTTAACTGTAACTGTGTGTGGCAACAAAAAAATCTAAAAACTAATCTACTTGAAAATCAATTCATTAATCTATGCGAAGACGATGACAGCGAGTGACGTTAGAATAACTGATTTTTTGTGCGGCTCTAAGTGTTTCGCAACGGTGAACCTTTGGATGAGTCAGAAATGCTTTATTGCGCGTTCAAGGCTCATTAAATAATGCTTGAGCAAAAATTTAACCAAATTTATCAGTCTTAGTTTGTGAACATGTGCCTTAAAGTCTCCAAGTTGAGGACTCTGAAACCACGAAAAGTATTATTCTTTTTGGAATCGCTAACAAGGCGCTACTCAACGCAGGAAATGGTTTACAAAAGACATTAAAACCGCCCAGAATTCTTCAGCTTTTTACAATTGGAAACCAAAGATACTCTATGAAAGAAAACATTTCGCAAAAGGCTACTTGAATGTATTGTTGTAGACGGTGAGTTTTTCCGGGCTGTTGTTGAAACAGGAAGCCCAACCCATGTATTTTATTTTATCCCCGAGATCGAGATATCGGGCACAAATAATATAAAAGAATCTTTCGTTTTAGTTTGACCTTAAATCCTCTCTTCACCCTAGGGATCAGTTTGCTGTTAAATCTTTTACTGATCCAGATCCTTTTTTATGTTTTGCTGATCTGTTTGAACGTCAACTCTAGACTTATGCTTTAGTTCAGTGATATACAAATCACTTTCCAAGTAACTTGATCAAGTTCGGAACTCGTATATGGTTGAATTCAGTCTAAACCAATTACGGGTATGTCGCGATGGATTTCCTAGCCTTGTGCAAAAGGAGATGTAGTGAATCACCTTAGCACCTCATCTTTAGTACGTTGTAGCGCTAAGCTGAGCGCATTATTGAAGCACGGAACTAACATTTCATCCAGGAGGACTAGTAATACTAAGGATCGTGAGCATATTTATTTATAATAATGCTGCAGGTCATATTCCCCTCTTTTTCGTTTTAACAGAATGTACTTAAAGGGATTTTTTTTTCTCACTTCAGTTACGCCTGCAGTAAAGGAAAAGGGAGGATGGCGAACAAGGCTTTGATTTGTTCAACTTTTCTGATTCTGCTAGAGCTGTTGGATTTGATTGATATCGCTGCCAGCAAAGGTTAGTTACTTGTAGTCTTAGTTGTAAAAAATGCGTGAGAAAATCAACTCTGTGCCTATAAGCTAATCAAGGTGCAGGGGATATTGGGTACATTATTAGGTTTCTCCTCTGTCAGCTGAGATTTGCTACATATCAGCAAGCATGTAATTAACAAGGCTAAGATAAATAACCTTCAGGCCTGTTATCAAAGATTCCTACAGCTGTAACCTAAGTTTAATATTCTGGCTTTCTACTTTTAATTTGACGGCAGCGTGATGGGAACATAAATGCTGTAATAACGTTGATGGCGATGACAATCACGAGGACGACGACGACGATGATGGTGGTGGTGGTGGTGATGGTGGTGGTGATGGTGGTGGTGATGGCGGTGGTGATGATGGTGGTGGTGGTGGTGATGGTGGTGGTGATGATGGTGGTGATGATGGTGGTGGTGATGGTGGTGGTGATGGTGGTGGTGGTGGTGGTGGTGGTGATGATGGTGGTGATGATGGTGGTGATGAATGAAATGATACGATGATGATAAGAATAAAAATTACGTTATAAACGCAGCGAAAATTACTAGTTGGCGGTTGACTTCACGATGGCCACGTAGGATGAAAGAACAAAAGCTTTTCCCTCCACTGGGAAATTAACTCTTTTTTCATGTCTGCTTTGTAACTTGGTTGGTTGCAAACCAAGAATATCAATGGAATACTTACCATGATTTTTTTTTTTACATTTTCTTTAGTACCTCCCTCGGTTTTGTGCGGTAAACCTCACGAGACAGTGGTTGCCTTGGATCCTTCAAATCATGCGTACTATCCATTTTATGTCAAGCTTCACCGCTGCATGGGCTCTAAGGGTGCACTTAGTCCTAAGGTGCGTCGCTGTGTGCCCAGTGGTTTCGAAGAATTGAACATTCCAGTATATGAACCAGCAAAAAATTATAAGCGAACGAATCTTTTGGTTAAAAACCACACGAGCTGCACAGACGAGTGTGTGGCTAGCCCTGAAATGTGCAATCTTGTCCTGGAAAAGTGGGATGAGGAATCATGCACTTGCCAATGCATGTACCCGGATGAGCCACCGAAGGAGCATGCTTGCAAGGAACGGTTCAGGTACGTTGAAATCACATCGGGAGCTTCCAAAGTCCCTTTCCCTCAGGTTTCGATTATTGATCGCCTGGACAGACTTTGGAGCCATAGTAAAAGTAGAAATCTATGCGATGAACGAAAGTCCAAGACAGTTGACCTTTTTAAGCCCAACTCATACGCCTCGTTGCTTTGTTCTAGCCATTTGGGGTCATCCAAAAAACAGGCTACACGCTGCGCCACTGAGATGGGCTAACGGTCCTCAATATACTTACGTGAAATTTCCCGGGGATAGCTGAAAAGCTAATGTACCTTACAATGATCAAAACGTAGCTCTTACACGCAGTGAAACACTTGGAAAAAAAAAACGTTTAAGAATTTTAAATCGGAAACAGCAAGCATACCCTGCGAGCATAGGCTCTTCGATCTTCCTATTTAGTTCGCGCACGAAAAACATGATAGCGAGTGAAGAAATGGCCGCGTTAATAATTTGCCATCTCTGCCTTTTGCTCTTTGCCGTAAGCCTGATGCTTGAATATGAGCAGTGCTTCAAGTACATTTGCTTTTATTCTTTAAAGGTGGAACAAGCACTGGTGC